ATTTATTTTTCCTTTTAGCGTTACTCATTTTTTGCTATTCAACGTAAATCAGTCAAATAGTCCAAATAAAATAAAAAATGATTGATAAATTTTATTTTTTCTATTTTTTATCATTTATTCATATTTTTTAATAATTGTAATGCATTCCAAAGTATTGAATATAAGAAATGATAAAATTTAAGAGCGAAAATTTGTTACACACTTTTATGAATTTAGTCATTAGTAACTGCAGTTCAGTTCACTTCATTCTATACATCTTTTATCTTAAAGTAGATTATAAGTGTTTGAACCAAGTGACGACTAGTCTTATTACTGAACTTGATCTGATGCATAATTTAGACTTGTATTCATCTGAAGCGTAATTTAGACTTGTGTTCATTACAAGTATCCTTGTAATTAACCATCATTGTTTCATTTGAGATTGGAATTCTATGTGCATATTTCAGACTCACTCAATATTTTTTATCCAAATTTAGTATAATAATGCAATTAAAGTTCTAAAAACTGCAAACAATTTTAAAATTTTAATATTGAAATTGGTATGAATAGAAAATAGAATTACATAGTAAAAAAATAAAAAATATATTGCAATTTGTATGACATAATATGATAAATATGCGTTTATAAAGCTTATTAGTGTAAAATTATAATAGTACAAAATAAATTATTGAATAAAATATATTCAGAAATGCTGTGACCTTTGGTGATTATGACCTTATGTAATTATTAGAAAGATATATTAGTGAAAGTTAATAGTTAATCATAGGGAAAACTTTCGGAAGTAATGCCCTCTTTGCAGTATTTTTAGGAAAGAAATAATCGGAAGTTATTTAGGAAAAGTAAACTTAGAGAGAACTTTTCGATAAGTTAGCCTTGATAACTCACAAAATTGCATAATACTGCTAGTCTTTTTTATTTTTAAGTCTTTCAAATTTATGCTTAAAAACCATGTCGAATAATTTTTGTTTTGTAGTACAGAAGCTTATTACTTCTCATACTAAAAAGTGAAACAATTAAATTTTTTTTCCAACAAAAATTTTTCAAAATTCATATTGCGTAGCAAATTTTAATTAATTAATTTTTGTATTACTGCAACAGAAATTTTAGTTATTGTTAATTATTGCACCGAAAAAAGTATGATAAAAATTTGCATATTTCAGATATTTTGCATTAATTATATTCGTTCGACATGCATATTTATCAGCAATCATTAATCTCAGCACTTTCTGTAATGCTTATTTTATTAATTATTTTTGGTGTAATGACACGTTTTTGCACTACAAACAGGATATCAGAAGCTGATTCATCTGTAAAGCATTTGATTCATAAACATTCTTTAAATTTGCATAACAATTCGATTGTTGGAATGGAAAATGGAACTTTAGTGTAAGTATTTAGTTAATCAAACAAATCAGAATCATTTATAAATTAATTTAATTAATTTGATCAAATTACAAATAATAGAAAGAGATATACTTACTCTTTGAAACAAATTTATAATCATCATCAAAATTTTGAAAAAACAAACAATTTATCATTTTTAGATTCGAAAATAAAAGTATCAGATGGAACAGAATTCCATCAGGAGTTCAGAATCGTTTTGTATTGCGAACAAAAAATTTTACTGATATTTCTGCGTCTGATTTTGATTTACTCGATGAACGCGAAAATAATGATTGCCATAAAGTAACTGCTAGTACAGGTATTAAAGTTTTCTCATTTTAATTTTATCATTTTTTCTATTTTTTTTT